TTGCATTTGATAATACCACCTTATTATGTCGAGACGTCTCAAAGCGCCTCACAGAATATACAGTAAAGTGAATCGACTATATTTTGTGGGTGAAACGCAGTAGCCAAATGCGCACAGCAGCGTCCCACAAACAGTGGTGGATTGAGTGACATTGTGTAGATGGAACATTAAAATGCAACTGAGATGAAATTGTCGCTCACTGAGTGAACGTGTTACCTGCAGGATTCCATCGAGCTGGTGTTGGTTGTTCAAAGAACATCGCAGTGTTAGGGAGTTGGACCCTTATCCCGGCTGGTAATGAAGGAAGAATGATTTCCCCTTCTCTTTCCTCGGGAATGTCTGTGCCTATATTTGAATTGGTTTGTCTCACTCTTTCCGAGGGGTACGGATACATTTGTAAACCTGTATCCGATACCTGACCAGAAAAGACAGAATAGGATGTCAGGAAGGATTGAACTACAGAAGACACAAAAAGTCTAGTGGTAAGTAAGCTACAATTCCTTCGATGCCCAGGACCCACCTTTTTAACTTGCTGGGGAACTTTGGTTTGAAACCTGTTTTGAAGAGAAGCTGTGCAACTCAAAGTGACTCCATTATTGTGGGGATCCTGTAACGAATTGGTTAGAGCACTTGCCTCGCAAGCGAGAGGACCCGAGTTCGATTCTCGGGCGGGGCGAAATGCTTCGCTCTTACCAGGCCCTCTGGCTTGCGAGGCGAGTGCTCTAACTAATATCCTACAGGCATCCGCCCAGGCCATATTATTTTCTACCTTGACATCACTGAGTTCCTTTGCCGGTAGCCATTACTTATCAAATCATTACACATCCTTCTACACAAAGATCCGGCACACTTGTTACACCATTCATTTGTTTAAAAAAAACACACACACAAGGCGTTTGGGGAGTTCAGCTGCCAATAAAATAAACTTAAACGATTCCATCACTTTATCCAGAAAACGTGTTCTGTCATTGAATTGTAGCAAAATTTTAAAAAAAACTCATTTGAATTTTGTACACGGCTGAACATTGTACAGTCAGTTGGAACCATATATTTAATACGACTTATGCAAAGTATGAGTTATGTCAAACTTGCATAGAATATAAACTCTCAAACAGGACTTGGGCAGATATGCAGCTTTGGCGATTATACGAATTACACAGTTCAGATTTATGCGAATTTTGCTGTATATTTTATGTTGGACTTCCCAAGAGGATTGAGTTTGTGTTGGAGTTACAAAGCTATGACAAATCCTATCTTGCCCTGTGTTTTTTGATTGTAAAATGCGGGGAGAGTTTTACCATACCTGTACGATTGTCCATCCGTTAATAAACGTGGGCTGAGGTGGCAGTTTCAGGACATCAAAGTAAAACACGCCACCTAAAGGTGTGTACTCGTTCAGGTCAGCTGTAAACCCGTCCTCCAAATCTATAGGTGGAGTCAAAGGCCTGGACTGAGGTGGAGTCACGTGCTGAGACATAGGTGGAGTGACACCCATACCAACAGGTAAATGTGGCAACAGATGCTTCTCCCTGTCTGTTGGTGACGGAGTTATTAATCCATCTAAACATACACAAGTAATTATTTAACTGATTGTTTGGGTAAGTTTCCTTACTCCGCGCACACCCTCTGTTTACCCGGCAGTAAGTAGGAACCGGCTGTGAGTCGATTGGCGGATCGCTTTTCCGGGGGTAATAAGCCCTCAACAAAAATGTGGTCACTGTTGCAGAATGAAGAAAAGGTTACTATCGGACAATGTGTATGGCGAGCAGCCAGAAGAACCCAGACGATACAGCCAGAAGAACCCAGACGATACAGCCAGAAGAACCCAGACGATACAGCCAGAAGAACCCAGACGATACAGCCAGAAGAACCCAGACGATACAGCCAGAAGAACCCAGACGAAACAGACAGAAGAACCCAGACGATACAGACAGAAGAACCCAGACGATACAGCCAGAAGAACCCAGACGATACAGCCAGAAGAACCCAGACGATACAGCCAGAAGAACCCAGACGAAACAGACAGAAGAACCCAGACGATACAGACAGAAGAACCCAGACGATACAGCCAGAAGAACCCAGACGATACAGCCAGAAGAACCCAGACGATACAGCCAGAAGAACCCAGACGATACAGCCAGAAGAACCCAGACGATACAGCCAGAAGAACCCAGACGATACAGCCAGAAGAACCCAGACGAAACCGGTCAGATCGGTTTTGGGCAAAGGAACAAAAGAGCTCCGCATATGGAATTGTGCAGGGCCTTGCAGGGTCAGCAAGTGAGTACGTGATCAAAGTTGGCCTGGGAATATAAAGTTTTGTGAGTTTTGTTGTGCCAATTTTCGTATCATTGTTTTCAGTGTCCGATTCATTCTTTCAATGATACCACTTGACTGTGGATGATTTGTAGTGGTTAGTGGCGCCATCGGTGCCGCAAACTGGTGGTATCCGGGGAATAGTCTGGAGGATCCTCCTCCCGGTCATAACGAGCAGCCTCGTGCTCCAAACTATCCCAATCAACATCACCTCCATCATATCCCGTAAAAGCACATTGCATTCCTAGTTTTACAGACAATTGACGTTTTAATCTCTCAGTTTCTTTCGTGCACTTATCATGGTTAATCCCACCTCCTGACTTTTCCTCAGGGGGTTTTGTACATAACTTGTACAGCCGCCTCCAACTGAGTAACTTTTCCCTCTAACTCTTGGTTTTCTTTTTCTACCTGTTGTTTACCCTGGATAGCCCTCTCTGCTTCCCTTTCTGTCTTTTCTGCTTTCCTCTGTAAGTCAGTTGAAGCTGCTGTTGTCGTTTCTCACTCTCCAATTGTTCCTTCAATTTTCTAACTTGCTCTTCTAAGTCCTTGTTTCTCTCCTTCTCCTCTTGTCATTTCCGTTCCAGCTCTTTTCTCTCTTGTTCCGCACTAACTATAGCTACAGCCCTTTTGTTCTTTTCCCAAGCCTTGCCCTTTAAAAGTACTTGGGCATTACTTCCATACCCCCTGTCGGCCTTGTAATGGATTCCCCAAACATTCCCCGTGACCGGGCCGCTTCGTCTCTACGTATTTAGTCAATACGGTCTTCCAATCTTCCTCGGAACCCATTACTACTTTCGATTGTGGTATACCTATTCTCGATAGCTCCCTGAGCTAACCTTATATCTATCTTAATAGCTCCCTGAGCTAATACGCTACTTGACGATAGTGTGCACGCTCCCCGAGCTGCTACGCTGTTGATTCGGTGGATCTATTACTCGAAAAATTAAGGTCCCAGGTTCCTAATTATTATCGAGCCCATCCAGGGACACCGATCTGACCGGTTTCATCTGGGTTCTTCTGGCTGTTTCGTCTGGGTTCTTCTGGCTGCTCGCCATGCACATTGTCCGATAGTAACCTTTTCTTCATTCTGCAACATCACTCTATCCACAACTGTTTGTGGGACATCACTGTGCGCGATTGGCTGCCGCCTTTCGCCCAAAAAATTCACAGTTAATTCACTTTACAGTATATTCTGTGAAGGCCTTTGAGACATCTCGAAAACTCTATCTCAAATGCAAGGGATGTCTTTATTATTGTTATTATTATCAGTTGGGACTACACATTTAATATATGTAATATGACATATGCAAAGTATGGAGAACTTCCTCTTTGACCGCGCCTATGGTCCCCTACCCCTCCCCCTGGCTTGGCATCCTGCTCCGCCACTGTCCAGCACTCTGGGACGCTCTATAAATGCAAGTTGTTGTTGTCAAACTTTCCAATTTTCAAAGCGGACTTGGGCAGATGTATGACTTAGGCAATTGTGCGACTTATGCCAGTTTTATTGTTTTCCCAATTTGTAGAAGCAAAAATGTTGTTTCAATGCTTCTGTGCTTCCGTGATCTAAAAAAAAATCTCAATTCTACATTGCATATACTCTATCTGTATCCACAACCCAAGTTTTGAAGAAAAGATTATTGCTTACTTGAAATGATTTCCGCTTCAAGCGTCGGTGTTTTCACATCCCGGATTCCATTTACTTTCTCTTTGCTTGGCGTCTGGCTTTTTGTGTCATCTGGACTGCTGACAGATAAAAGTTGCTAGATATAACAGAAAGATGAGAAGATAATTCCCAAAGGAACATGTCAATTGTTCTTTGGATGTCATCATAGAACATTGATCATGCAATATCTAACTCACAATGCAATCCTATTAAAAGGAAAAAAATGCATTCAAGAACTTGAATCCAAGTTTCCATGATTGAATGGCGGGGCAGGCTCGAAGGGCCGAATGGCCAACTCCTGCTCCTACACGTTATGTTAATTTATTTCACCACATTTGCTTTTTATTAGGAACTCAGTCCTTGCAGCTATCAGTTGAGAATTTTTATTTGTACATCTGCGTGGACGTTAAGGATCCCTTGGCACGATTCGGAAACAGAAGGGAGTTTCTGTCTCCCGGTTTCCTGGCCATCAATCCCCCAAATAAACAATGGTCATTCGTTTCCCACTGTTTGTGGGACTCCTTTTTAATAAAAATAATCCTTGCATTTGATATCGCGTCTTTGAGACGTCTCAAAGCGCTTCACAGAATACACTGTAAAGTGAATTGACCGCATATTTGTGGGAGAAACACGGCAGCCGATTGCGCACAGCAGTGACCCACAAACAGCCGCGGATTTCAACCGAATTACCCACAACGGGAGAAAGCAAAATTTCAAGTGACAAAAGTAAATGTGGATTGGTTTCCAGTTTTGTGGCTACTCCAAAACAGAAATAGCAACTGTAGGAAAATGCATGTGGGTTTTAATAGTTCTTTATCAGAATGAAGAAAATAAGCAAGTTATTTTAAACTAAAAAAAATGCCAATATGTACAATTCCCCTGTGGGATTATATGACTAATACCACAAGCATTGCTCTGCATAATAATTTTAGAATCAGTTTCTTCAGGTTGATTTTCTTTGAAATTCAGCGCCTACACAGATCACTACTCAACCATTCAGCAAAGGAACATTATTTGAGGATCTAAAAAGAAGGGAAAGGGAGAAGAGAGAAGAGTCCACTTACCCAGAAGGTGTGCTGCCACCCTGTGGTCCGTGTAAATTAACCCAACACCGACTTAAAATATCACAAACTTTACCTCTCAATTATGGTTGTTCTATTGCGAGCAAAGACATTGTGACGTGGTTTCTCTGTTTGTATTTATATAGTAACTTGAACAGGACTCTAAAACTTATAGTCAATGTTCCCCTTACACTGAAGAAGTAATAATGATACTTAATGCTTACGTACGACCCTAATTCTATCCTATGATAAGTAAACGAGTTGATTTGTGTATGCCTAAAATATGTCAATAAACAGATTTTAAAAACACAAACAATGTAAAGTATTCAATTATATTACCTTTTAAATTTCTTGTAAAGAATCTAGTCATTGATCACAACATATAACAATAATAATAATAATCTTTGCATTTGATATAATCATCTTGCAGGCATTTTGCCAGTAAAATAAACAGTCAATTCTCTGTACAGTATAATCTGTGAAGCTTTGAGATGTTCAAACGACACTATATCAAATGCAAGGATCATTATTATTATTATCATTATTATGATTATAATTATTATTATATTGCATTATAATGCATGCAAGTACAATTTTCAACTTGATACCTTGGACTTGTCTGACTGAGTTGTCTGCTTTGTGTCATCGTCAGATAGCTCATTGTCTGCGTGCATATTTTCTTCAAACGTTGCGTGTACCCCGACCTTCACCTTTGTGTTACTATTTGTCAACATCTGGCAAACAGGCTCAAGGCAAGTCAGATGGTCATAATGCACATGCATGATCCTCACCGCAATGTCACACATCGTCAGGGCTTTAGGAAGCTCAAATTCCATTTTGGCTTCTTGGAAATCGTAGCCCTTGAATCTGTAATATAAACAGGATTGAAAAAGACGTCCCTAAAATCGTCAAGGAGATTTTTTTTGCGTGGTTCTGGAGCCCTATCTTTGAACTCGCCTTTAAATCTCCTGGTTCCGTTAGTGCCTGTTATTTTATTTGCAAATACAACACAAATTTACATGTATATGGCGTCTTAAAACATTTTTAAAAATGTACATTTAAAAAAAAGCCTTGGTTGTTGCCAACCTGCGTCTGATACGTGCCCGGAATTAGGTCAGCAGGATGGGTCCCTCCAGGGGGAGAGAGAGAGAGAGAGAGAGAGAGAGGGGGTGGGAGCCGAGAGGGGTGGGAAGGAGAAATACAATCAGCCTATTTCTAACAACTGTTTTCACTGTCCACATTGAAGGTACCTGGGATTTTTGTTGAGGTTTGCCCACACGCACTGAGTAACGTTCTCATCTCCGACTACCTCCTGCATGTTCCCTGTCTCGATGTCAACAAGGGAAACAGCGTTCTGCAAAAGAAAATCATTTTGAAGCCAGACGTGCGGCACGCACTCGAAATCCATCGCCAAGAGTTAATGAGAATAATGGCTCAGCGGAAAACAATACCTTGCGAAAACAATAAACAAGAATGTTACTGACTGAATAAAACAAATTTTTGCATTTAATTATTACCCTCATCCACGGGTCACAGAGCAATCTCGCTATTAATTATGCATCAGTTATAAAGGAGGCCCAACTAATTCAGAAAGGCACAGTTAATGTAAATTGTTATTGTACTGATGAGCCTATTGTAACAGGTCAATGGTCTGTACCTGTAAGAAGTATTCAGTGACTTTGTCATTTTTCTGGGAGACGAGTTCCTGTAAATATACAATTGTGCGTTGGTGCTGAAGCACAATGGGGCTGTCCATCTCGCTCGCGGGAGTGTCGATTAATAAAGACTCCAATTCATTTATCAGCTGCAATAACAAGAGCGTGCAAAATTCACAAAGAAAATGGTCAGGTTAATTATAACGAACTACAGAAAAAAACAACTTGAAAGATTAAAACTCAATTCAATGATTTGCAACATTTCTGGATGTTCTGCAATGCTAATTATATATAAAATAATAATAATCCTTCCATGTGATACAACGCCTCATCGCGTCTTTGAGACGTCTCAAAGCGCTTCACAGGATATACACTGTAAAGTGAATTGACTGTATATTTTGCTGGGCAAAGCATGGCAACCAATTCTGCACAGCAGCGTCCCCACAAACAGTTTGGATTAAGTGACCGCACTTTGTTTTTTGAAGGGATTATTACCCCTGGAGAGCGATCCGCCAATCGACAAAAAAACAGGTTCCTACTTACTGCTGGGGAAACAGAAGCGTGTGTGTGGAGTAAGGAAACGTGCCTAAATTTGTGCCCGACCTGGGCATCAAACCCGGGTCCTCTCGCTTGCGAGGCGAGTGCTCTAACCACTGAGCTACATGATGTAGTTGAAATACTGTTTTTCGTCAGTCAAGTACTTACTTTTAGAATCGTCCTACATTCCTCCAGCAAGAATTTTATTTCTACCATTGGATTCTCTGCGGAAAGGTTGATGAAGGTGTTGATCTCATCCAGTATTGCTGGATCCGGAGTCCCATCGCACCGCATATAGCGTGCCCACTGCAAGCAGAGCAGAGAAGCAAACACGTACTCTTCACCATAGCCAACAACTCAACAACAACAATAGCAACTCGCATTGGTATAACTGCCCGACAGAGTCCTGGAGAAGCTAAACCATGTGTTTTCAAGATCAAAAATAAAAGGTTCCACGTTTTGATATCCAGGGTTCGTGTGAAAATAGATACCGCGTCAAATTATATTTTGAAATATCCCCGAGTTTAAATATTCCTGCCTATAAAATGTACAATACTGTATCTACAGAAGGAAGCAAAGAGAATCATAGAATCTTACAGCACATTCCAATCCTTATTGCCAGAGTTTGGGGATTAAGTAGGAAAGTGATGCACTATTTTGGGTGAAAACCTAAAGGAAGTGGTGAAAATAATATTTGAGAAATGTCACCTTAATATTTTGTCTGCGTAGTTTCAGTTGTTTATGAATGATATGTTCATGTACTTCCAGAATATGTCGGAGTTCGGGCAGTTCGATTTCTTTACGTTCTTTGTCCTGTTTGCAGTTTTTTTTAAAAAAAAGGTTAAACACAACAACAACAACTTGCGTTTATATAGCGCCCTTCACACCAGGTCATGTCTCTGAGCGCTGAACAGTGACGGAGCATAACACAGAGCCGGGGGGGGGGAAGGGAGGAGGTGACCGTGAGAAGGGTCGAAGAGGAAAGTCTTCAGGTGCCATCTGAAAAAGGGGTCTAAATATCCAGTTTAGCTATTCCAAAAAGAGTTTACATTCAGTTTCCATTTCGTACAAAGTTTTTTTTTGTATTCGAATGTATCGCTCAATTCAAGAAACTTTGTACAATTTGGCTCACCCATAATTTTCCCAATTTACATTACTGTACCCACAGAAGGATGTACATAACCACACTTAGCTCCTTCCAAGAAGAGAAAACTTCATTGTGTAGTCCGTTGTGTTCTGTGACCTATTTAAATCTTTAAATCAGATTATGTTATAACTTGATTAAAAACATTTGCAATAAGGACAATGGAGGAAGGCTGACTGAGATATCTATCAGTGAGACTGTCTCTTTGCCAAGAAATCATTCATATGAGGTCAGGGCGTTTAAGAGCATTGTGGTTAAGTAATCTCCCCAATATGTGACGGTCACCAAAGTGGTCCAAACGCTTACAGGGATACAAAAGGATTGTTTTCAATAATAATAATACTTGCATTTGATGTAGCAATGAAAATCTAAGTACAAGGTTGTAAGTTCCAACAGAAAAAATACTTATTACTCATATTCAATAACACTTTCGCTTTCTGTTTGTGGTTTTTTTATTTCAAACTATTTATACGTATATTCTACTGGGTATTTTAAAAACTACCACTGAATATCCTCTCCTATTCTGTCCTGTCTCCATCAATTAATAATAATAATAATAATCCTTGCATTTGATATAGCGCTTTTCACGTCGGGAGGACGTCCCAAAGTGCTTCACAGAACACACTGTAAAGTGAATTGACTGTATATTTGTGGGCGAACGCGGCAGCCAATTGCGCACAGCAATGTCCCACAAACAGTCGTAGATTGAAAATGACCAATTTATTATTGTTTTGGGTTTTGGAGGGATTATTATTAGGCTCTGTGTGGAGTAAGGAAACTTGCCCAAGGTTTGGCCCTGACCCCCCGGGGATTGAACTCAGATCTCTCACTTGCAAAGCGAGTGCTCTAACCACTGAGTTACAGAACTCCACAATTGATTTTTTAATTTAAAAAAAACCCTGAAATGATGGGTTTTGCAGTTAAACCCTTACAACTTTACACATAACTTTTTGAAATGTTTTACCATTCTTGACTACAAGCACCAGAAAAATCATGGAAATTCAACAAGGTACACATTAATTTCATATAGGAACAGGAGGAGGTCATTCAGCCCCTCGAGTCTGCTTCACCATTCTATCAGATCATGGCTGATCAACTCCAATTAGTATACATAATTCATATAGTATTTAAGTGCTCGCACTTTGGCCCTGTGTTATATGTGATCCAACCCAAATCTTTAGCAGTTGAGAAATGTCAGCGAAAGGTAAGGAAGTAATTTTCTACGTCAGTGATTTTGATTGGGTAGAAAATGTTGTCCTTCATCCCTTCATTTACAACAACAATAACTTGCTTTTATGTCGCGCTCTTCACACCTCGGAGCACTTAAAATTTATGACGGGTATTAAAATATAGTCAACAAAATGGACAGACCTCAGCTGCGATCCTTGCTCTCTCTTCTTGCTCAAGTCTCTCTCTTTCTTTTCTCTCTCGCTCCTCACGTTCAGCTTTAAGTCGTGCTTCTTCTGTCGAACAGAAAGGAAATGGAACCGGTGGGATTTACTCCGTGCAGAAGGTGAAACGCCAACCGCGCTGGCGTTTACCGCATGTAAACTCTGTGGTATAAAACCAGTTTAACTAGATTGTGTTTTAATATAATCCTTCCGTTGGCGATGAGGTGATGCTTGAGCACATCATCAAAATGCCTCAAAGTGCTTCACAGGATTTACTGTGACAAATAGTTACTGTGTGTTTGTAGGCAAACAGGACAGCTAACACAAGTGTGTTATAACATGGCTACGCTATATTTAAGCGCTGGGTACCAGACGTCAGGGGGAAAGATATTCAACCCGTTCCTTAAAAAAGAAAAGGGAACCTGTTTAGACGTTGCACAGTTTTCGAAATAAATTTACAATCATGTGGGGAATAATGATCTGTTCATAATACTAGAATCACAAGAATAATTTCAAGGATATTTTTTACCTTCTTCTAAGTAATTTTTCTCCTCCTCTTCTTTGCTTACTTTATCATCGAGTTTGGACTTCTTTTTTCCCTTCTTCATTCAAAAGAAACATGGACATGTATTGAAAATCAAAGTACTGTTGTAATTTACAACAGAAAAAATGCACGTTGCTGCACGTTCAATCACACCTTGACTTTCCACCTGTTTTTTTCTTTATTTCAAGCTATTTGTATACGAGTTCTACTCCAAAACAATTACATTATTCTCTTTTGAGAAGAGCGAAATTGTTTCGCTGTTCGATTTATGGGCGAAACGCAGCAGCCAATTGCGCACAGCAGTGTCCCACAAACAGCTGTGGATTGAATGACCAAATTATCATCATTATTTTTTTAAATGATTGTTATTCCCCAGAGAGCGATCCGCCAATCATTTATAACAAAAACAAGGCGCGCTCTCGAGTTTTACCATGGATGGTAACACAGTAATACCCCCTTTAGTTTTGTTAACGTCAACATTTGTAAATATTTTCTGCCCTTCTCTTTTTTTTAGGTTCAGCACTAAACATCCCCCGGGTGGGGGCAGAGGTACGTGGGGTCCACTCTGAGCTGCACTGGCCCCAGACTGTTAGGATCGAGCCCCCACCCTGTGCCGGTCTCTAGTCCGGTTCCTGAGCCTGGAGGGGCCGCAGTGTCCCAGAGCACAGTCCGGCCCGACTCATCAGCCGGACCTGGAAGGGCCGACCAGTCACTGGGGACAGGGAATCCCCTCCCTCAGCTCCTGGTAACCCCACAGCCAAAGCCCTAACTAACGGGGAGGGGGGGTCCTGGCTGGACAAGCAGCGGGACTGCGACTCTCTTCAGTACTCCTTAACGCTTCTGTAGTGCTGCTATTTTGCTTTACCGAAGCCTTTTTACAAATGACCACAAGTCTTCCACACAGTGGTGCATTTAGCCCACTGTGACAAGGTGTGTTTTAAATGCATTACCCATCACAAGCATAAAGAGGGGGAAAAAAGCATTAAAACCTATGGGTAAGAAACAGTGGAGTTCAGACGCTGGACACACTATAAAATTAAGTTCACAAAGCCATCAATGTGATTTAGAAATTGAAATATTGTCAAATATAAATATGAAATGTCCTTAGAATATTCCATTTGCTCTTAAAATCAACACACAAACCCCATTTAATGATAATAATCCTGGCATTTGATACAGCACCTTATCACATCATTGCGCCGTTTCAAAGCGCTTCACAGAATATACTGTAAAGTGAATTGACTGTATATTTAGAGGGTGAAACGCGGCAGCCAATTGCGCACAGCAATGTCCCACACAAACAGCTCTTGGATTAATTGACAAAATTATAATTATTTTAATACATTTTTCTTTTTTGAAGGGATTATTATACCCGGAAAGTGATCCGCCAATCGACTCACATCTGGATTCCTACTTACTGCTAGGGAAACGGAGGCGTGCGGAGTAAGGAAACTGGCCTAAGGGTTCGCCCCGCCCCGCCCTGCCCGCCCGGGAATCGAACCCAGGCCCCTCTCGCTTGCGAGGCGAGTGCTCGAACCACTTCATGTAGTGGCCGTTGAATGCAAGATACTGGAGTCTCGGTATCTTTCCGCGTTGCACGTTGACACGGAATGCACCGCTTGGGTCTCTTTCATCAGTTAGGTCGATATCAGAGCATACCGTAGAGTGAACTAACTGACTGGGTATTCTGTGGGTGAAATATTTCAATTGCATTCATACCATATTATGCCGCAGCATATTATGGGTCGTTTGCAGAAAGGAATTATATAGGTTTTTGATAGAGAAAAGGATGAGTGGGCATCTGAGAGATAGCGAGAGATGGTATTTGAAAATGGAACCAGTCTAAGAACTATAGATATATATATACTTTCTCCCTCTTTCTGGTCTTGTATATTCTTACGTTCAAGTAAGTTAGCTTTTCTCTCTAATCACCGTTGTTCTTCACTTCCTTATGCAGTCGGAAACTAAAAACCTTAAAAGATATATGAAGTTACCGCTGTCTAACTCTATTATAATGCCTTACACTAAAGCCTTCATACCTTTTTTTTCTTTTTCTCCTTTTTTGACTGGCACAGGGCAGAGAATGAAAGAGAATCAGTGAGAGAGATCAGAACAGAATAGGTTAAAAGTCACTACAGCTTTTACATTTCTTGTACAAAATCATACGTCATAACCTATTACTACATAATCCTTTGCATTCTTTATTTTTAGTCAAATTATTTTTTACGGGGCGCGGGGGGGGGGTTCATGATTCTACATTGAGCCGTATCTACTGTTAGTCACCGTGAATACTGGTGCAGTAGTTGAGATTAACAAGGAAGGAAGGAAGCACAACTGACCTCCTCCTCTCACCAACCACATACTTTCCGCTTTCTGTGGTTTCTGCTGTTTTCGTCCACCGGTCTAATTATCTGAGCAACTCTCCCTTTATCTATTTTGACCAATTCACTATCCCCCCACCCACCCCCCAACCCCCCACTTTACTCTTCCCTGCGTTACCTAATTAGCCCCACGGTCAGTTTTGCCCTGAATCTTCTTGGAGCTGCGCTACTGTTCCTGCTTCGCTTGGTCCACCGCCTCCCGTGGGTGTCTGTCTGCGGCTCCTCCCGAGGCCGGTGTCCAACGCTTGACGTTCAAAGCCGCTTTCTTTCATAAAACCTACAATAGTTTTCAAACTGTGCCCTCTCTGGACTGGAGCCCTGGGGCACCCAAGGCTTGACAGTGGATTGATTCTACAATCAACTCTGGGACTCCATCCCCAGTGCCTTCGCCGCCTCCTCCCTTTCCTCCTTCAAGGCCGGTCTCAAGGCCTTTCTCTTTGACCTTCAGCCTTCAGCTCCGCTCTCGACTCTCTACCCCCTCCTCACCCCCTCCCTCCCCTCACCCTGACCATTCCCCCCCTCCTCGCTCCCTCCCTTCCCTCCCCTCACCCTGACCATTCCCCCCTCCTCGCTCCCTCCCTTCCCTCCCCTCACCCTGACCATTCCCCCCCTCCTCGCTCCCTCCCTTCCCTCCCCTCACCCTGACCATTCCCCCCCTCCTCGCTCCCTCCCTTCCCTCCCCTCACCCTGACCATTCCCCCCTCCTCGCTCCCTCCCTTCCCTCACCCTGACCATTCCCCCCCTCCTCGCTCCCTCCCTTCCCTCCCCTCACCCTGACCATTCCCCCCCTTCCTCGCTCCCTCCCTTCCCTCCCCTCACCCTGACCATTCCCCCCCTCCTCGCTCCCTCCCTCCCCTCCCCTCACCCTGACCATTTCCCCCAATGCTCGGGTCCCGACCCAACTGTCCAGCGCCTCGGGACGTCCTCCTGACGTGAAAGGCGCTCTATAAATGGAATCTTGTTGTTGTTGTTGTTGTTGTTGTTGTACGATCGATCGTGTTGATGGACGGACAGACTGGTCGCTGTGGGTGCGGGGAATCCCCCCCCTCAGCTCCCGTTAACCCCGGCAGAGCCACAGCCCTACCGGGAGGGTGGTCCTGGCTGGACAAGTGGGAAACCTTGGCCCAGACAGCGATATCAACGGTCACTCTCTGTGGGTGTGGCTGCGGTTAGACTCCGGCCGTTACCCCCTCACACACACACACACACACACACACACACACTCGGGGCAAACAACAGTCAGTGAAGGTGTGTGACCAGAAACCAACAAAGTACAGACTGAATGCGCATTAAAGGCGACACCGTCAATGGGAACCGTCTGTGGCCGAGTGATCGCTCGGCCTCAATGCTACACTACACCTCACACTCTCTCTTCCATACACTCACACTCACTCACTCACTCACACTCACTCACTCACACTCACTCACACTCACTCACTCACTCACTCCCACTCACTCACTCACTCACTCACTCACACTCACTCACTCACACTCACTCACTCACACTCACTCACACTCACTCACTCACTCCCACTCACTCACACTCACTCACACTCACTCACTCACTCACACTCACTCACACTCACTCACACTCACTCACACACACTCACACACACTCACTCACTCACACTCACACACACTCACTCACTCACTCACACTCACTCACACACTCACTCACACACTCACTCACACACACTCACTCACACACTCACACTCACACACACTCACTCACTCACTCACACTCACTCACACACTCACTCACACACTCACTCACACACACTCACTCACACTCACACACACTCACTCACTCACACTCACTCACACACTCACACTCACACACACTCACTCACTCACTCACTCACACTCACTCACACACTCACTCACACACTCACTCACACACACTCACTCACACTCACACACTCACTCACTCACACTCACTCACTCACTCACTCACACACTCACTCACTCACTCACTCACTCACACTCACTCACACACTCACTCACACACACTCACACACACTCACTCACTCACTCACTCTCACTCACTCACACTCACTCACTCACACACTCACTCACTCACTCACACTCACACACTCACTCACACTCACACACTCACTCACACACACTCACACACTCACTCACACACACTCACACACACTCACTCACTCACTCACACTCACTCACACACTCACTCACACTCACTCACTCACACTCACTCACTCACACTCACTCACACACTCACTCACACACTCACTCACTCACACACTCACTCACACTCACTCACTCACACACACTCACTCACTCACTCACTCACTCACACACTCACACTCACTCACACTCCCTCCCACACTCACTCCCACTCACTCACACACTCACTCACACTCACACACTCACACACTCACACACTCACACACTCACACACTCACTCACACACACTCACACACACTCACTCACTCACTCCCACTCACTCACACTCACTCCCTCCCACACTCACTCCCACTCACAGACATCCTCAGCCTGTGCTCTGCTCACACTCACCATGTTGTTGGCTGTTGTTTACAGCGCTCAGTTGGTTACCAGAGAAACCGCCTCTCAGCTGTTGCGCTGCTCGTGTGTGACGACCCCTTTGCCCCGAGGCTGCAGTGCCAGCGGGAGCCGCGGGGGGCGCTGTGGGAGCTGCAGTGCCAGCGGAGCCGCGGGGGGCGGTGTGGGAGCTGCAGTACCAGCGGGAGCCGCGGGGGGCGGTGTGGGAGCTGCAGTGCCAGCGGGAGCCGCGGGGGGCGCTGTGGGGCTGTGGGAGCTGCAGTGCCAGCGGGAGCCGCGGGGGGCGGTGTGGGAGCTGCAGTACCAGCGGGAGCCGCGGGGGGCGGTGGCGCTGGTGCTGAGGGTCGGCGGGTGACGGTTGGCGGTGGCTGCAGTCCGGCGCTGTGGTCAATCCCCACTGTGTGGCCCTGATGTTTCCCCTCGAAATCCGCGCTGTGTGACAGCCACAACCACAACCACAACCAGGCAAGAGAGGCCCCCACAGTCACTACACCCCCCCACACAGTCACTACACCCCCCCACAGTCACTACACCCCCTCACACAGTCACTACACCCCCCCACACAGTCACTACACCCCCCACACAGTCACTACACCCCCCACAGTCACTACACCCCCCACACAGTCACTACACCCCCCACAGTCACTACACCCCCTCACAGTCACTACACCCCCCACAGTCACTACACCCTCTCACACAGTCACTACACCCCCTCACAGTCACTACACCCCCTCACACAGTCACTACACCCCCTCACACAGTCACTACACCCCTCACAGTCACTACACCCTCACAGTCACTACACCCCCCACACAGTCACTACACCCCTCACAGTCACTACACCCCTCACACGGTCACTATACACCCTCTCACAGTCACTATACCCCCTCACACAGTCACTACACCCCCCACACAGTCACTACACCCCCCGCACAGTCACTACACCCCCCCCACAGTCACTACACCCCCTCACAGTCACTACACCTCACACAGTCACTACACCCCCCGCACAGTCACTACACCCCCCCACAGTCACTACACCCCCTCACACAGTCACTACACCCCCCACACAGTCACTACACCCCCTCACAGTCACTACACCCCCTCACACAGTCACTACACCCCCTCACACAGTCACTACACCCCCTCACACAGTCACTACACCCCCTCACAGTCACTACACCCCCTCACACAGTCACTACACCCCCAGTGCCACACAGTCACTACACCCCCAGTGCCACACAGTCACTACACCCCCTCACACAGTCACTACACCCCCTCACACAGTCACTACACCCCCTCACACAGTCACTACACCCCCTCACAGTCACTACACCCCCTCACACAGTCACTACACCCCCCCACACAGTCACTACACCCCCTCACAGTCACTACACCCCCTCACACAGTCACTACACCCCCCACAGTCACTACACCCCCTCACACAGTCACTACACCCCCTCACACAGTCACTACACCCCCCACAGTCACTACACCCCCTCACACAGTCACTACACCCCCTCACACAGTCACTACACCCCCTCACAGTCACTACACCCCCTCACAGTCACTACACCCCCCACAGTCACTACACCCCCTCACAGTCACTACACCCCCTCACACAGTCACTACACCCCCCCACAGTCACTACACCCCCCACAGTCACTGCACCCCTCTGCCCCCCCGGCTCAGGACCCGCTCCCCGACTGCTTTGGGACGTTCTCCCGACATGAAGGGCACTTTACAAATGGAGTGTTGTTGTTGTTGGTGTTGTCCCAATGAGGTGATGAGGCGCAGCACCAAATGGAACGATTATTATTATTAATATTTATTATTATTACTTATTATCAGATACGTTGTTCATCATAAGAATTTGCTCCACGAAAGAGGACCAAAGGTCCAGTTTCACCGTCGATCAGATCCTGGCAATCGCTTGCAATGTGCCATTGACCCCAAACTATCGACTGTACCCCCACACACCCCCCTCCACCATCCCCCCTCCACACCCCCACAGCCCCTCCACACCCCCACACCCCCTCCACACCCCCACACCTCCTCCACACCCCCACCCTACCCCACCCACACACACCCCCTCCGCCCCACCCCCTTCCACACCCCCCACAGCCCCTCCACACCCCCACACCCCCTCCACACCCCCACACCTCCTCCACACCCCCCACCCTACCCCACCCACACACACCCCCTCCGCCCCACCCCCTTCCACACCCCCCTCCACCCTACCCCACCCACCCACCCCCCTCCACCGGTGTAACCTAAACTAACTTTTGTCTGTGTCAGGGCCCGCAGCCGTGTGGCAAAGAGGGCTGGAAGGACAGCAGCTGGAACATGTCAAATCCGCTACGCAGTGAAGTTGTAAAGCTTTATAAAAATGTACGTATCTGTTCGTCTGCTTTTTGCGTTGAGAAGAGATTTGCACTGAAGCAGTCAGTACGCAGATTTATTCATAAAAACGAACCACCAATTGATTATAATAACGATCCCGGCATTTGACACAGCGCCTGATCACGTCTTCGAGACGTCTCAAAGCGCTTCACAGGATATACTGTAGAGTAAGTTGACTGTATTTTGTGGGCAAAACCCGGCAGCCAATTGCGCACAGCAGCGTCCCCACAAACAGCCGTGGGTTGACGTGAGCAATTTATTATTTTTTTCTTGAGGGACTATTATCAGAGATGTGGAGTAAGGAAACCTGCCCAAGGTTTCGCCCTGATCTGCCGGGGATCAAACCCTGGTCTCTCGCTTGCGAGGCGAGTGCTCTAACCACTGAGCTACAGGACTCCAGTGAAGGTTTTGTGGAGATTCTACATAGCTCCATTGCACTGTGAATCTGGTGAAGAAGCATAAAACTATGATTAATTTATTTACTTCTTTCTCTTAAATATTGTTTCCCGCTTTAGAACCATTGACTCAGATGTACACACACTTTGTAATTTGGTCAGTTTTGTGAATGTTAAGTTGACAACCGTTGAAAGATCAGTACGATTCAACTTACTGTATATGGAGTCTTGTATCTAGTGCCACTACACACCTGTATGGACTCAAGTGCATCCAATTGCAGTGAGGAAATGCGCATTACTGCTTGACTAAAAAAAAAAGTGTGGTATTATTTTGTGTTAAAGTTGCTGCACCTTGGCAAACAATATCCAAAGGGAGAAGACTACTTCAGAGGTCGTCTTAAGATTGCTTTCATGAAAAACAAAGATGTTAAGGACCCTAACACCATCAAGGACCTAATAGCGAGAGGTGAATATGTGATAAAGGAATTGGAGGCTATGTACTATCTTAAAAAATACAGAGCGATGAAACAACGTTATTATGACAATAAGAAATGAGGTAACCTAATTTTGATGACTATTTGGAAGATCCTTTTAATACGAGATCGACAGGTTGCATCTTTGTATCGGGATATATAATTCAGATGCTAAAATGCTGAGTACATCTATCAATAAAAATATTATTCTGTTTCTGTTTGATTAGCTCCTCCACTACATGAGGTGCCGTTGAGAACCAATGTTTTTAAAACCTCAAATTAATTCAACACTTCAGTGTTCTGGGTAACAGTAATGTTTCTGTACATGGTGATAAATCACTCAATATAAGTGGATAAAACTTTCATAATTCAAATCGTACACTAACATAGGACTCTAAATTGACTCTTTAGCCACTTTTTTTAATTTAACTCATTTAATCAACGTAAAACATCCTGCCTTACTATTGAAACAACAACGCAATCCATGTAGTTAATCTTAGAGGGTCAGAAAATCATATAACAGATTAGCAAAGACCTTAGCACAGTCTTACAAAAGACTTTTGCAAATAGTATGTGAAATCGATGTTTGGTTTCAATAGCCTAAATTATAATAACAGCAAACTTGAAAACTGTTGTACATCAAAATGTTGAATTGTAATAAAAATGCTCTTGCAATAAAAATGCTGTTGCAGAAATAGCATACAATTTGCATTTATATACAGCACGTTTCACATCGACAGGAAGTCTCAGAAGTGTTCAACACTGCTGGCACCCAACCCAAACCAGTGGTGGGAGTCAAAGGGACTGAAGAGGGGAATATATTTTTTGGTCAGCTGGGTGTCTGACACATACAGAAACCCTTAAGAGTCTCCAAACCAAACTGAGGTTTCCATGCATCCCAACTACACATGGAAATCCCAGAGAGATTGTTGGAATGGAATGCACTCTCTCTCCCCCCCGGAGGAACTCATCCTAATACCGGAAAGTATTAGGCGCAGGTTGGCAAGAGCGAAGGCTTGGGGGGAGCCCAGAGTGTGCGTTGGGATAACTGCTGGAGTCTAACCAGATCAAACCACACAGCTTGGCCATTGATATCACTGTCGGGCCAAGCCTTCCCACTGCTTGTCCAGATAGGACCACCCTCCCCATTAGGGCTTTGACTGCGGGTTAGCAGGAGCTGAGGGGGAGGATTCCCTGCCCTCAGGGACTTTCAGGTCCTGCCGGTCAGTTCAGTTCCAAGGAGACCCCAAGGAAGGGAAAGATGACCAAAAGTACATTTGAAGAAACCACACCAATATGATTTCTAATTGGTGTCTAGGTTTCAGAACTTTAGAATAGATTGTAATTTAGTTTGATAAAACAGTATTAATATGAATGAACGTGTGAAACGTTTTAATTAAAAAGCTATGCTATTTAGTAATTTTCTGCTTGTTTATTGTGAAAGCAGTGCACCAAAAAAGCACTGAAGTGTCGAGACAGACATTCAGTTACTTTAGGTACATTGGTTTCAGATGTGGTGTCTTCAGTCTGAAGATATAATTGCCTAAATTTGTTTTGCTTCAAGAAAATGTTGAATGTTTTTCACATTTCACTGGATCCTCGATTTAACAGCAGTGGTATTGCCATATAGAGGAGGTAAAACAGTTATTAAAAAAACAATGATTTTTTATTCTACTTTTTATTAACAAACATAAAATTAGATATAATTATGAATCACTTTTACAGAAATTTAAGTACAGATCAGAAAACATAAAATTTTCCACCGTCAAGTTTTATTTTATTTTAAAAAAATTCAAAATCTGAGGTTGAGATGCATTGTAATAATAATAATCCCTGCATTCAACTGTATCAGTAGTATATATTTAAAATCCTGAGTATCCTCACTTCTATTGTATACAATACATAGAAAAATCAAACTTAGCATATGCACACACAGCAAGATTTGTTTTCATCCATCCATCGCTAAGTTTCTGAAAGCATCTCCCCTTAAAAAACAATCGAGCTACCGGAATGATATTGCATTAAAGTATGGCTCATTGATGACCTTCCGGTCAGTAAATCTCCTACATCAGTCCAGCAGATTCCAAGTTAATATCAACTCTGCAAATGGGACAGCTGGAGTTTGCCTGCAGGACAGAGACACAGCAAAGTTACGACATTTCCATCAAAATACAAGTGGATTTAATGAGATACAAAGTGGATTGATGTTAAAAAAAAATCAACCCTCATAACCTACGAAACTCACTTGAATTAAAGAACCCTTAGAATGCAGTTACATAAAAAACTTAAGATAATGACAATTCTACTCCTCCGCAATTAAGTGTTGCCCATTCCCCTCCCCCAGGTTTGGAAACATGAAAGGTGCTACATAACAAAGCCAAGGGCCAAAATGAAATCTACCGTCAAAATAACAGTTTATGAAGTTTCTCTGGCAAACCGTAATACCTACCTTTAACCAGCGATCAATGCATTGAATGTGATAATCATGAATACAGGGCAAGATTCTAAGCTTCTCAGTTGGCAAGTAGTCACTAAAGCAGATGTAACACCTGAGGAATGATTAGAACATAAAAGATTAGACCCGCGTGGAAAACGGATTTGAGCTTCAACACAACAGTCAAAACATTTTAAAGAAATCAGGCATTTTCTAGAATAGTTGGTTCAATAACCCATAGTATTCTTTTTAAATAATCCGACAAGATTAAAGAAATAATAATAATAATAATCCATGCATTTGATACAGCGCTTTTCACGTCTTCCAGACGTCTCAAAGCGCTTCATAGAATTGACTGCATATTTGTGGGCGAAATGCAGCAGCCAATTGCGCACAGCAGTGACCCACAAACAGTCGTGGATTGAAATGACCAATTTTATTATTTTTTTTGAGTCATTATTATCAGGCTGTGTGTGGAGTAAGGAAAGTTGCCCAAGGTTTCACTCTGCCGGGAATCGAACCCACATCTCTCGCTTGCAAAGTGAGTGCTCTAACCACTGAGCTACAGGACTCCACAAGTTTAAGGTTAATTGAAATTTGTGCCTCAGTTGATGGACTAGTTTAGGGTGAATGGTTCTGTGGCATTGAATGACCACATGTAAATACCAAACCTCCTCTTTGGTGAGTTCCTTAGCCCTTCGGGCTGATTTATGGATGGCACAAAGTGATAAGGAAGTGTACAAAGTGTACTTTCCCTCAAAAATGTACACCATTCTATGACCTCTGCTTCGCAGCAATTTTTAAAAGAAAACTTTACTTGCTATTGAAGCTTAATATAGTTTTAACACTTAGAAAATAATGTTATATTATTAAATGTTTCAATTGTATAGACAAAGGAACTTACAACAACAAGAAGATTACATGTGTACAGCGCCTTTCACGGCGGGAGGATGTCCCAAGGCGCTGGACAATGACAGCATTTCAGACCCGAGCTGGGGATGGGGGGTGAGGGAGGGGAAGGGAAGGGGGGTGACCGATGGCATGGTCGAAGAGGAGGGTTTTGAGGCGGGACTTGAAGGAGACTAAGGAGGGGGCGAGGCGGAGTGACTGGGGGATGAAGTTCCAGAGATTGGGGACAGAGTGGATGAAGGTTCTCCCGCCAATGGTGGGGCGGGTGGATCGGGGGACGTGGAGCAGCCGGAGCGGCTGAGCGGAGGGAGCGGGCGGGTTGGTCAGGGGTTAGGAGGTGGCAGAGGTAGGGTGGGGCGAAGCCATGGAGGGCTTTGTAGGTGAGGACCAGGATCTGAACTGGATCCTCTGAAGGATAGGGAGCCAATGGAGTCAGGCGAGAGTGGGGGATATGGGGTCACGGAGTTTGGTGCGGGAGAGGACACGGGCGGCAGAGTTCTGGATTATCTGCAGCTGTGGAGGGAGGAGTTGGGAAGGCCGACAATCAGGGAGTTTGCACAGTTGAGTCTGGAGGTGATGAAGGCACGAACACGAGTTTCAGCGCCTGAGGGGCCTTGAGTTATGGATGTTCTCATCTAAACATTCACCTAAATTAATCTGAATTGGTTCCCCAAACTCAGCCTCTCACTGTAAACACAAATCAAGATGGAACAAGACAACAACACGCATTTACTCAGCGCCCCTCACACAGTGTAACATCCCAGAGCACTCGACAGCAGCGGAGCACAACCCTGACCCAGGGAGGGATAGAGGGGAGAAGAAAAGGTGACAGTAGCCACTGTCAAAAACCCACTAGAGGCGCAACCACCAATTTATAAAGTCACCTTTGAAATTCATGAAGTTTTTTTTAATATGCACAGAATCCTACAGCAAGAGGCCATTTAGCCCACCGTGCCGGTGCTGGTTCTTTGAAAGAGCTACCAACTTAGTTCCACTTCCCCACTCTTAGTCCACAGCCCCACAAATTTATCCTCATCAAGGACAGTTCCAATTCCCTTTTGAAAGCTTTGCATCAGATGAACAGAGGTGACTGCCAACCACAAAAGGCATGAAAAGACAAAATCAGCCTAACATTCAAAGGAACCTTTCGACATCAGCTGATGCCTCAAGGTGCCATATTCCCTCTTTTCGAATCCTGAATACAAAGTACAGCTCATTTTTCAACAATTAGTCTCGTGAGTAGATTCCAGTTAATGGTTTTACTCACTGGGTTTTCCCTGCGGCGTGAGCTGGATCAAAGAACTTTGTTGGTAAACGATTGATTTCTGCAACACTGAGTTTCTTCTGTGAAACGACTGAACCTTGGTGATCTTCGAAAGCTAAGAGGTCCTGGATTAGAGAAAAGGTGATTCCAGATTATTAGTAATAATAATAATAATCCTGGCATTTGATACAGCGCCTTATCACGTTGTTGAGACGTCTCAAAGCGCTTCACAGGATATACTGTAAAGTGAATTGACTGTATAATTTGTGGGTGAAACGCGGCAGCCAATTGCGCACAGCAGCGTCCCACACACAGTTCGTGGATCGAGTGTGCAGAGTTATTTTTGCAGCAACATTTTTTTTTTGCTTATGATCTAACGCATGAAAACAGTCACACTCTACAACGGGCTTCAATGCCGATCTTACACTGTATAACACTGTGATCCTTAAACAGTAATTTGGGTCCTTTATCCCTTCAAAGAATTTAAAAAAAACGTGCTCACTCAATCCACAACGGGTTCAGCAGTAAGCAGGTCAGAGAGATGGGGAGGTGCCAGGGCCAGACGGGGTTTGAAGACGAGTGTGAGGATATAACTGAAGCTTTGTAATAACAGTTCCTCTGCAATAAGTCATTCAACCCAAACGTTTGCGGGACTTTGCTGTGCAAAGGACTGCTGCATCATTATCATGCAGACAAACCTGTTAATCCTGAAGAGATAGCTGAGAGGATGAGTTGATAATTCAAACAAGTTTGCTGTTCAGATGCAAATTTGGAGATTTTGCAAATGGGGAAGTTAGGCAAAAGCACAGATAATATCTTTACACTGTGCTGAGTATGTGTTCCAGTCTCCTTTCCCTCCCCCACCCCCACAAACAAAACAAAAAGAACGTATATTCTTCCAATCTATACTATAAGTAACAGTCAAAGCACGTCTGCTTACCTCATAGTCATTACCGTCATTCACATAAGCATTTCGCCTCCTGCGGAATCTTTGTTCCCTTCTCTCATAACCCTCTCTCTCTGCAATACACAGAGATTTAAATGGGATTTGACTGGCTGAGTACATGCAAGGTCAAATTCAAGCAAGACAAATACAACAGCAACAACAATATCACCCTCCACACAGGGTAGCGTCTCAAAACGCTTAGATAATAATAATATGGGTAACGTCTCAGAACGCTTAGAAATAATAACATATCTGTTAGGAGTACAAATCTGATTAAAAACACGACTCAACACAAGACTAGATACAACAACTTATACTACACTGCACCATTGCACAGTAAACCTCACACAAGTCATATCAGTTGGGACCAAACATTTGATACGACTTATGCGAAGTATGCATTATGTCAAACTTGCAGAGAATATAAACGTTTGAACGGGATTTGGGCAGATGTATGATTTAGGAGATTATACGATTTATACAGATCAGACTTTTACAGCATCATATTTTTCAAGCAGAAGTAGAAATCTAGTCAGTGTTTTAGCACAAAGTTTTGTCAATTCCATTATCCCAGGACCTTTTGGGTCCTCAATCGCTCAGTTTCTGCTTATTTGCATCAGTGCTGCCCAGCCTTAGGCAAGTAAGATGGAAATCCATTCAGGGAGGTACTACATACTACAAAACAATTTCTCAATTTGCTCCACTGCAACTTCTCACAGCAGCTTCAGTGCTAAAATGGTTAAGACAATTTTACTTAGAGTATTGGTCATCAGCAGTTACTAGAACAATCCTTACCATATCTTTGGTCAAAAAATCCCTGCAGATCTTGAAGAACAGAATCAATTTCTGCTGGTCTTCTGTCGCTTGGGTTTAGATATTCACCACATCCAGGTTTCCTACAGTATCCAAAGTCCACAGGTGCTAAGAAAGCTTCATACCCACCACAGCCGGGTATCCCACAGAAATTGCTGGTTTCTGCCTGTTATAATAAAATTACATTAAGTTCAGAAGCTTCCAAAAAAACTCAAAAAAAGAGGTTAACGTAAAAGACACCATTTCCTCACATTACGCAATACACCCTGTAGCTCAGTGGTTACAGCACTCGCCTCGCAAGCGAGAGGAGCTGAGTTTGATTCCCGGACAGGGCGACAAGTTGGGCAAGTTTCCTTACTCCACACGCCTCTGTTTAGTTGGCAGTAAGTAGGAACCCGAGTGTTAGTCGATTGGCGGACTGCTTTTCTGGGGGTAATCCCATCAAATAAAAAAATAATTTGGTCACTCAATCCATGACTGTTTGTGGGGACGCAGCTGTGCGCAACTGGCTGCCGCGTTTCGCCCACAAAATACACAGCCACTACACTTTACAGTATATTCTGCAAAGCATTTTGAAACATCTCAACGATGTGATCAGGTGCTGCAGCAAGTGCAAGGATTGTTATGTTAGCTCGCCCAATTGCTTCCTTGTTTGAGACTACAGTGTAATCCAAAAATCGAATGCACAATCTTTGCGACTTCATAACAGTATTACTCCCGCGCCTGCTTCACACATCCTCACCGGACAGATGTACACGTTTGAGTTCTCAGCACTTACTGCATTTGATGGTCTCCCTGTAGCAACATTCTCCCTGCCGTATTGCAGAGCTTCCATATCAAACTGAGCCTGTCAAAAAAAATACACTTAATAAACTACAAAATAGTTTTGGATTTAGGCATTTGTTATTCCACGTACTCCTTGCGAAGCTGTAAGCAGGTATTTAATTAATCACGATGGAGGCAGAAGTAAATGCCCACCTGCTCTATTCCTAAAGGCTATCTCAAAGTGTCTTTGCTATATATTGCAGTCTAGTAATACAGTGGATTAGTCAAGGTATTAATACCAGCCCAAAAGCAAATAAGCAATTAAAATAATTTTCTGAAAGCTTTCTAATAACAGCAGCTTAGTTAAAAGCCATAGAAAGTAGATGCAACATTAGCGAATACAGTAAAACTCACACAAGTCGCATCAGTGAGAAACAATTAATACGACTTACTCAAAGTTCAGGTTTAAGGCAAATGGTAGAAGTTGTAGGAAATCTGATTTAATCAATAATCTACACTGCACACGTGCAATTTAATGTAGCCAGTAAGTGCTCACGTGGTGATGAATTAAGACTACATTTCCTGTGATTCAATGCGTCTCAACATGTTACCACATGCGCACTTACTGGCAAACATTGGATTTGCAAGAAATTAAGAAATTATATATATATTTCACTTTACAGTATATTCTGTCAAGCGCATTGAGTCGTCTCGAAGACGTGACAAGGGGCTATATCAAATGCAAGGATTATTAATATTACACATTCACATTCTAGTGAGTAATTATTAGATTTATTAACCTGAAGATGCCTGGCAAATACTTCATCCTCTTCGAGTTGAGCAAGCTGAACAGCTGTATTATCATCAATGATCACCATAACCTGGGGGTCTCGGCTGCTTGGCTCTGAAATAGCTGGAAAACAATTCCCTGAACAATCAATTTATTTGACGTGGGAATAAAAATAATCCTCTTTGAATTTTGCAGTTCAACAAATCAGCATCATACAAGAATAAAGCAAAGTTAATCAAAATAAAAAAGATAATGCAGCAGCATTTATTCAGCGTAAGAATGTGCAAGTTTAAGTACCTATGAACCTGGACTGAACGGTTTAGAATGACATTAATAAGCTTTGCATTTGATGTCTGACACGTGCGGAAACCCATCACCGTTACTTAAGAGAATCCAAACTAAGCTGAGAATTCCACACCTCCCACCTACACATGGAAATCCCAGAGAGATTGTGGAATCGAATGCGCTCTCCCTCTCTCTCTCGCTCCCTGGAGAGAGTTATTCTGGAAAGTGTTAGGCTCAGGTTGGCAAGAGCCAAGGTTTGGGGGGAGCCCAGAGTGTGTGTTGGGGTAACTGCTGGAAGACAGTAACTCTGGCAATAAAGTGCTTCCTGATATCTCACTGATATTATGAGCCATGGAGGCTGACCTCACAATCCTCTGTCCCAGAGACAAGAATACTAATAACTAAGCCAAGCTGAATATCATTAATTGAGCTGTTTAAAGGCAATGCTAACAACGAGGAGGAAATGGGGGCCACCTGCAACACTTGTATTGCGCTTGCCTTGATGGAACCACAAACCTTTAAAGTTAAACACAAATAAGTAAATGCAGCGCCTTAACTAAACCACTCTCACTGCACAAAGACTCGGGGGGGGGGGATCGAGAACATACCCACTACTTCATCATCACTCCCGTCCAGATCAATCCAGTGATTAGTGTTTTCCAAAAGGGTAAGTGGAGCAGGGTTTACAGTCGAGGTGGCTGGTGAGCTGTTGGTGCACTGATGAAGGCTGGAGATGGAAGCTTCTGCTTGCTCACTCTTCTGCTCTGCTGGACGTGTGAATGTAGCCCAGTCACTGCTCTCTGCAGATGTAAATGTGGCGCCATCATTTCTCCTTGTAGGTATCACTGCGGATGGTTCATTACTCTTTGAGGGTATCAATGAGGTGTGATCGTTACTCTTTGAGGGTATCAATGAGATGTGATCATTACTCTTTGGGGGTAACAATGTGGACCGTTCATTAATCTTTGAAGGTAACAATGTGGATCGTTCATTACTCTCGGACTGTAAGAATGAGGTGCGAGCATTACTCTTGGAAGGTAGCAATGAGGTGCGAGCATTACTCTTTGAGGGTAGCAATGAGGTGCGAGCATTACTCTTGGAGGGTAGCAATGCGGTGCGAGCATTACTCTTGGAGGGTAGCAATGAGGTGCGAGCATTACCCTTCCTTGTAGGTGTTGATGTGGCGCTCACAGTGCCATTGGTCTCTTTGGTAGGTGAACTCCAAGACTGTAAACAGTTAGTATTTGCTTTCAATGATCCAACCGTTGACGGCTTTGCTTTTTTAATCGCTGGAGAGTGCGAGGAATTGGCTGACGCCAGGGTCCGGCTATTTGTGTAACTGCCATAGATCCTCTTGTTAAGAATGGAAGAAGACCCTCTCGAGCCTGACACCGCACCCAACCCTTGACAACTCTGCAGAAGTAACTGTGAACCTCCTTTGCTAGAGCCGGCTCTTTCTGAGCTCTTCTCTCTCCTAGCAGCCGGTTTCGAAGCTTCACCTGCTCGATGTTTACTTTCTCTTGGGCTTAAAGTGATTTTGGTCACACTTAGCAAAGAGTCACGAGTTGCTTCTACAAGTCTCTCCCTCGCGTACCTATCGGATCTCCGAATCGGGGAGGAGGGCAGCATCGAAAGGCGCTTCCTCGCACTGTTCATCATCACCGATCCGTCCATCTAAAACAGCGTTAAAGCAGACATTTAAAAACGATAAGAAAGAATGGATTCTTAGGACATTTGTACATTCATTTGCACAAAAGCTGAACATTACAGCTTATAATTAATTGTCTTATTTCGTTCTTTAAAGCACAGGCTCTGATTTCAGCTCCTTCCACACCATGCAAAAATATTTAATGCAAAACAAACAAAAAAAAATGGCAACTTGCTCGACTACACCTCAGTAAAACATTTAGCATGAAAAGCTCATGGTACTCAACCTTTCTAACCTTCAAAAGAATCCAGAGACAAAATAGCCCCAGAGCAAAAAAGCTCCATTTTAATAACAACAACTTGCATTTGTATAGCACCCCTCACGCAGACAGCGTCTCAGAGCAATGGCTCTTGACTTCATGTACGTCAGCTGCATTATTTTTAATGCTCATGAAATTAGGTGCTGGCATTTACCATACCACACCTAGGAGTTTAACTGCCTATTTACCTCTTTACAGGACCAAGAGCTTCACCCAATGGCCGAGCTCCAGAAATGGCACCTGATTCAATGAGGACAGGTAACAATCCTGGTACTAATTCGGAGCATTTATTATCCATTTCAGAATCTCCATCATATTGGATTCTAACCGCATATTCACTTGCCTGGTCACAAATAAAAAAAATTGGTCACTCAATCCACGGCTGTCTGTGGAACGCTGCTGTCCGCAATTGGCTGCCGCGTTTCGCCCACAAAATACAGAGTCAATTCACTTTTCAGTGTATCCTGTGAAGCGCTTTGAGACGTCTCGAAGACATAATAAGGCGCTGTACCAAATGCCAGGATTAATTATCATCCACCTCAAGCTCTCAGGAGAGCTGTCAGCTGAACAAGTGAAGCCAAACCATGGTTAGCAGCAAGAAATGGTCTGAAATGGTCCACTCACAGCTCTTGGTCTTGTGCCGCCACTATTAACGGTGCTTGTGGAGGAGGCAGTTCCCAATCTCCGTAGTTTACTGTTCTTGTCAAAAACAGGGCTTCAAAAAACAGAAAGCAACAAAATTTAGGCACAAGTTTTCCACAACAACAAATCACACTCATACAGCGTCTTTGCTAACAGACGGACGTCCCAAGGCCCTGGACAATTAAGGATTTGCACCTGAGTGGGGGGGGGGAAGGGTAGGGCTGATGGAGTAGGGGTGAGAGTGTGGTGTCAGGCACAGTCAAAGAGGAAGGTCGTGAGTCGAGCCCTGAAGGAGGCAAGGGAGGAGTTGAGGCCGAGGGATTTGGGGCTGGAATTCCAGAGGGCGGGCGCAGCAAAGCTGAAGCCCTGACCATTGATGGTGGGTGACATGAAGCAGGTCGGTGCCCGCCGGAGGGAGCGGGAGCGTTGGTTATGGTGTTAAGAGGTGGCAGAGGGAGGGAGGGAGGGGGCAGCAGGAGCTTTAGAAGCGAGGTCAAGAATTCCAGGCTCAATCCTCTGAGGGATGTGGAGCCGGGGGAGGGTTGGGGGGGAGAGGGAGGGAGAGAAAGGAGAGAGAATATTGCGTGTACGTTCAGCTGCAGCCGTTCACGAACGATTCCCACCAGGGTTTCTGTACCTTGGGGTTTCGGGAATCTCAAACTCCGACCTCCCGGAATCCGGATCGAACCGATATCCCGTGTTGAGGGGATCAGGGCTCCCGGGCTCCATGTCTCCAGTATTTCAAGCAATTCACTTGATCCCTAATGTGTTCATCGACCGAGTGATTTCCTCGCGAGGGTTTTATATCCGCTTTTAATTCAAAAAAGATAATAAGATTTCAGATAAATTGTATTATTACTGAACTAATTCCCAGTGTTCTCTCTCTCTCTCTCTCCCTCTCCCTCCCCACTCAGCTCATCTCTCTCTCACACACACACATTCTCTCTCTCTCTCACATTCCCTTTCTCCCGCCCTCTCTCACCCTGTGGGTGTGTGGGGGTGTGTGTGTGTGTGGGGTGTGTGTGTGTGTGTGTGGGGGTGTGTGTGTGTGGGGCTGTGTGTGTGGGGCTGTGGGGGGGGCTGTGTGTGGGTGTGTGTGTGTGGGAGTGTGTGTGGGTGGGGGGTGTGTGTGGGTGGGGTGTGTGTGTGTGGGGCTGTGTGGGTGGGGCTGTGTGGGGGGGCTGTGTGTGGGGGTGTGTGTGTGGGTGGGGGGGTGTGTGGGGGGGTGTGTGTGTGGGGGTGTGTGTGTGGGGGTGTGTGTGGGTGGGGGGGTGTGTGGGGGGGTGTGTGTGTGGGGTGTGTGTTGGGGTGTGTGTGGGGGGTGTGTGTGGGGTGTGTGTGGGGGTGTGTGGGGGGGTGTGGGGGGGGGTGTGGGGGGTGTGGGTGTGTGTGGGGGTGTGTGTGGGGGTGTGTGTGGGGGTGTGGGAGGGTGTGTGTGTGTTGGGGTGTGTGTGGGGGTGTGTGGGGTGTGTGGGGGTGTGTGGGGGTGTGTGTGGGGCTGTGTGTGGGGTGTGTGGGGGTGTGTGTGGGGCTGTGTGTGGGGTGTGTGGGGGTGTGTGTGGGGCTGTGTGTGTGGGGGTGTGTGGGGCTGTGTGTGGGGCTGTGTGTGGGGGTGTGTGTGGGGCTGTGTGTGGGGGTGTGGGGGTGTGTGAGGGTGTGTGTGGGGGTGTGTGTGGGGGGGTGTGGGGGCTGTGTGTGGGGTGTGTGGGAGGGTGTGTGTGGGGGGGTGTGTGCTGTGTGTGTGGGGCTGTGTGTGGGGTGTGTGGGAGGGTGTGTGTGGGGCTGTGTGTGGGGCTGTGTGTGGGGTGTGTGGGAGGGTGTGTGTGGGGCTGTGTGTGGGGGCTGTGTGTGGGGTGTGTGTGAGGGTGTGTGAGGGTGTGTGTGGGGTGTGTGGGAGGGTGTGTGTGGGGCTGTGTGTGGGGCTGTGTGTGTGGGGCTGTGTGTGGGGGTGTGTGTGAGGGTGTGTGTGTGTGAGGGTGTGTGGGGCGGTGTGTGCGGTGTTACCCTCAGTCTCTGTGATCAGTCGCTGCTCTTCTCTTCCGGTGTAGGAATTTGATCAGTTTTCACTTCCGGTTTGTGCACATCCGCGGAGTGTGAGTTCCCCTTCACCCCGAACAGCAACACCGCGTCACACACACACACACACTCTGTACACACACACACCCCCCACACACACACACACACACACTCCCCCCCACACACACTGTACACACACACACTCCCCCCCCCACACACCAACACACCCCATACACTGTACATCACACACACACCCCATACACACACACACACACACTGTACACACACACACACACACCAACACACCCCACACACACACACACACACTGTACACACACACACACACCAACACACCCCACACACACACACACACTGTACACACACACACACACACACTGTACATCACACACACACACCAACACATACACTCCCCCCCACACACACACACACACTCCCCCCCACACACACACACACCCCATACACACACACACACACACTGTACACACACACACACACCAACACACCCCACACACACACACACACACTGTACAGCACACACACACATACTGTACAGCACACACACACACCAACACATACACTCCCCCCACACACACACACACACTCCCCCCCACACACACACACACCCCATACACACACACACACACACTGTACACACACACACACACACCAACACACCCCATACACACACTGTACACACACACACACACACCGACACACCCACACACACACACCCCATACACACACACACACTGTACACACACACACACACACACTCCCCCCCACACACACACACCCACACACCCCACACACACTGTACACACACACACACACACTGTACATCACACACACCAACACACCCCACACACACCATACACACACTGTACATCACACACACCAACACACCCCACACACACACCATACACACACTGTACACACACACACCCCATACACACACACACACCAACACACCCCATGCACACACTGTACACACACACACACTCCCCACACACACCCCAACACACCCCATACACTGTACACACACACACCCCCCCCCACACACACACTGTACACACACACACACCCCAACACACCCCATACACTGTACACACACACACTGTACACACACACACACCAACACACCCCATACACTGTACACACACACACCAACACACCCCATACACTGTACATCACACACACCCCATATACACACTGTACACACACACACCAACACACCCCATACACTGTACATCACACACACCCCATATACACACTGTACACACACACACACACCCACACACCCCATACACACACACTGTACACACACACACACACACACTGTACATACGCACACACTCCCCCCCCCCCACACCCCCCCCCCCCCCCACGCGCAGTCCCACGCAGTCCGGCTCGAGGCCATTATGACAATTACAGCACACGTTTTACTTTGAAAGTTGTTCCCATTTCCTTTCATTCCTTTGTCGATGTACGTCCAGTTTTCGGGCTTCTGCTCTTCACTGGACTTCCCCTCATCCCTTGTGGTGTAATGTGGTTAAACATCGTTCCCAATTAACGTTATTATCAGTTGTATTAAAATCAAAATTCACAAATTACAAAAGTGCCTTAAAACCAAGTTTGTCGGCAGCTCAGGAACAAATCTATACTGATCGATAAAATGTCTCTCTCCAGCAAGAAAGCCACAACCCATTGACGTAGAGACACGATGTATACCCCCAGCGAAAAGGTCTTGCGTGGGGGGAGTGTCATGGGCGTATTTTTTTCCCGGGGATCTCCATACTGTGACCTAAACAAGCTCATCGCACATTGTATGGACTCCCGCAAGGATTCCTCCCGCTAGGAGTCTTCCCAAAAGGATATGTGTGCAAATATGTGAACAAGGGATGCTAACGAATTCAATAGCACATTTTCTTCGAACATGTCTCGCCTCATTTTACAATTCCCATCGACATTGCAACTGACTAAACTCATGCAGCGCAGAGTTTCGATCTGATCAGCTCAGTGCAGTGAACTTTACTGAGCCGGCGTAAGCATTAATTTAACGTATAACTTTGTTATGTGTAACCTTACACAAGTTTCCTTACTCCACACCCACGGCCCTGTTTGCCTAGCAGTAAGTCGATTGGCAGATCACCTTTCCAAGCGTAAATCTTCAAAAACAAAATAATAATAATAATGTGGTCACTTCAACCCACGACTGTGTGTGGGACGCTGCTGTGCGCAATTGGCTATCGGGTTTCGCCCACAAAACATACAGTCAATTCACTTAACAGTATATTCTGTGAAGCGCTTTGGGAAGATGTGATAAGGCACTTTATCAAATGTGAGAATTATTATTAATCTTTATTAAAAAAAATTACTAATTGAAGCAAATTGAGAGTTCGTGTCGGTTCACACTTCACTGCATTGTCAGAAATGTAAGTAACCCGACATCCAGGACCCAATTACCTTAGAGCTGTGACATCTCAGGGTACGTTAGACAAATTATAGCATTTCAAACACCGACTCACCACATATAAGACTGGTTTATTCTGGCAGGTTGAGGGTTGGGCACAAACATACTACATTATGGTGCGGTCAACAGTTCCATAGATTCCAAATATACACTCCTAGCAAAGCGTTGTAGTCATTGCAGGCATGGTTTATTTTATTATCTGCTCAATACGAACAGTACAGTGTCAAAGCCAGTGACAAATATCAGACAAACCATATCATTATAAACGCTACAAAGTCTGAGACTGGTCAGTTTTCAGTTTCACAGAGCATCAACAAACATTTTGAGGTCAAGGCAACTAAAAGGGACTCCGAGAAATAAGATCAATTATCATTGATAACAAAACAAAGCACAGATCTGTATATAAAATGTGCAATTCTGAAGTTTTACAACCATAGAAAGGCAGTTAAAATATATTCCAGGTAAACATTATGCTTGAGAAGGGAAATCTATCGAGCTATTGGCACTCTTGAATGGTAAATATCACCGTGATAAATAAAGACAAATGTGTTTTAGAAAGGCATAGATACATGCACAAAGCCCCAAAGGATTACGATGTTCAAACTGATCCGGTTTTGCCAATTTTGACAAAATGAATGATGACACCCAGGAATAATGGAATTTGATGGGAATATAGCACAGCCTATCATTTTTAAACCACGCCATCATTTAACAGGCATCAATCAGTCTGTTGAGCAAGATTCGATAAGAGTACTGATCAAAAGAAAGCCTAATAATTTAGTGTAATGTACAAAAAATACAAAAAATAATCAGGTATTACTTTTTCAGTTGAGCCACAGTAAATTCTATTCACATAATCGAACACTTTTTCTTGGTTTTATTTTTCTTCTTTTTGCCGTCTTTACTCATTTTCTCTTTGTGCTTTCGGATTTCGCGGACTAGTGTGTAGAAAGCGTCGTCAACGCCCTGTAAGTAAAACACACACACACAGAGTCAGTATGTTATCAGTATCAATCACCTACCACTGTTGAATATGCAAGGTGCGTTCCTTTGTGATATTTAACTCACAAGTACATTAACTGCTCCAAAGTATACTTTGCTGAGATTGAAATTACTACACTGCAATTATCAGGTATAACATGCAACATCTAATGTTCCAGCTAAATATTAATAATAATCCTTGCATTTGATCTAGTGCCCTATCACATCGTTGAAATGTCTCAACGCACTTCACAGGATACGCTGTCAAATGGATTCATTGTGGGAGAATATTGCTCTCGAAAAGCTTCTTTGGCAAAACATTTCCCTCCACAATGTTCCATTTTTCAGTACAAAAGTCCAATTTCATCAATCAACGTTCTGATATGAATAGAATTTTTAAAAGAAATCAACATGGTCTCGACCTTCTGTATTAATCTTCATGTGTGTTGAAGGTTTTAAAGTTTCACACAGGTACACATCGGGTTTTGTTGACGTTCAGTTGAAATGGTGTCTAACTCTTGCGAAAAAAAATGATTCTTGATAAAGAGGAATATTAAATGTTGGGGAAAAAAAACACCCAAGAAAGAACTGCCATTTGTATTGAGCCTAGAAGTCAAAACTCCTCAAAGAACTTCACAATAATGTGTGAAATGTAAATTGTGAAGCACTTTGAGGATTTTGTTGTAAGCTCAACAAAATTAACACTTTATACATTGCAAATTCCCCCACACCGCCATGAGGTGAATAATCAATCAATAATCAATAACTCAAGAAGTGCTGGCCAGGATACCAGGAGAAACTCTTCTCGAATAGTGTTGACTTTCAACATAATAATCCTTGTACTTGTTACAGCGCCTTATCATGTCATTGAGACATCTCAAAGCGCTTCACAGAATATACGGTATTTTGTGGGCGAAATGCGGCAGCCAATTGCGCACAGCAGCGTCCCCACAAACAGCCGTGGATTGAGTGACAACATTATTATTATTTTTTATTATAATAATTTGGGGAGGGGGGGAGCGATTGGTGGATCGCTTTTCCGGGGGTAATAAACTCTTCAATAAAATGATTCCCCAAAAAAACATCATAAAAAGAATTTGGTCGCTCAATCCACGGCTGTTTGCGGGACACTGCTGTGCATTACTGGCTGCCTCGTTTCGTCCACAAAAAAAATACAGTTAATTCACTTGACAGTTTATTCTGTGAAGCGCTGTGAGACGTCTCGAAGAGGTGATAAGGCGCGATACCAAATACAAGGATTATTATATATTCGAAACGGTTTAAAGACAGGTATTCTGTCCTTGCCTGAAGGAAGCTCTTGCCTGTAGAAATTCACCACTTACCCCGTTACATCACAACACATTTAAACACCACGCATCTGGTTGTCTTTTCTTCAGTGTTGAGCTTTCTCAACCTGTATTGGCGAATCTCACGTACCAGTGTATAAAATGCATCCTCCACTCTCTGCATTGCAAAACACAACTCCCTCAATCAGCATTTGACAGAAACGTTACAAAATGATTCACATTTCTTTTCCCCCAGTGCTGATTTTTTTTCTCAAAAAAATCTTTTGAGAATATTGAATCATCTCGATTCGCCGGTCGGTCTGCCCGTCACCAACACATAAAACGAGGAGTTGTGATTTTAGCCATGCAGAGATTTCTAAGAGAACCACCGCCACCATTAGAGAGGTTGATTTCAGTCCCGAAGATACCAATTTAATCAATTAATATAATGTTTAAGCCTCTACTTATTACTAATCAACAGCTCTCAAGGAAAGGTCAAATAAATACTTGTGAACAAAGCTTCGTTAAGCTAGAGGTTTATCAAGCACCAAATGACATTATAAATCTTAAGATATTATTCCTGCTACGCTGCAACGTAGACACGGGATCTAAAACTGCTTTCAAGATCAGTTATGCCTATTCACGATGGCAAAGAAAGTGAAAGTTCCACAAAAGCGCTCAAGTCGCTGTTAAGACCTGTTAATTAATGTAACGTAGATACCTCTAACAAGCCAAAGGACTAAGCGATATCGTTATTGTAGAGCATGCAGCAGTACTTTTTTTTTTAATTCTAATTTTCGGAAATCCGCATTACAAAACAGCCATTATAAGAATGTCCAATTTATCTCTGGCTCTGTGGACCAGGATAACAGGAGAAATTCATCTCTTTTAAACATCTTTCATATCCACCTGAACAGGCAGACAAGAACTTGGTTTAACATCAGACGTGAAGGATGCCAACTCTCGACAACGCACAAACCCCCAGTACTGCACTGGATTGCCAGCCTAGACTGTGCACTCAACCCTTTCTTTTCGACCGCGCCTTTGGTCATCTTCCTCCCCCTCCCCCCGGCTCGGCCCCGGGATCTGTTACTGTAAAGCGCTCTGAGACGCCGTCCGGCGTAGAGGGCGCGATATAAATCCAAGTTGTTGTTGTTGTTGATTTGGGGGCTTGAATCCACAAGCTTCTGACCCAGAGACACGAGTGCTACCAAGTGAACCAAACTGAAACCTATTTTTTCTCTTAGTCTTGAGGAAAAAAAATCACTTTTCAATGAGAGTCTCACAACTTAAAAGAATGGATATTTCACAGAAAGGAAAATTGAAAATTGCTCTCAAGACCCTCCTCTTCGACTGCGCCATCGGTCACCTTCCTACCCCTCACCCTCCCTTCCCTCCACCCCTCCTGATCCCAACCCCCAGCTCGGGTCCAAACCCCTGACTGTCCAGCGCCTTGGGACGTCCTCCCGACTTGAAAGGCTCTGTGGAAATGAGATTTGTTGTTGCTGCCTTTGTGCTTTGCCAAGTGCAAGTGACATACGTGTAAGTAACTAACAATAGCAGTCAGTTGTGCAAGTCGCTAAAGTTCACATTCAATCACTGGCAATGATTCCATTAAGAACAAAGCCCATCCACACAGGCCATGACAGTTTCCCCCATTTCACTCACTTGTCTTGTTTTCGCTGACGTTTCAATGAATGGAATTCCGTAACTTCTCGCTAGTTCCTGTGCTTGTCTTGTGTCTACTGTTCTTGAAGGCAAATCACATTTATTTCCCACGAGGACCATTGGCACGTCATCAGAGTCTTTTACCCTTTTTATCTGTTCTCTGTGGAATGACACAAATGTTACAGGACTTCAATCCAATCAGTAAGAGAGATTTTGTGATTCAAGTTAGATATATGCAAGCTGTGTGGGTTTAGCTGGTTTGACTCCAGGAGTTACCCCAACGCACACTCTGGGCTCCCCTCCAAGCCTTGGCTCTTGCCAACCTGTGCCTAATACTCTCTGGAATTAGATAAGCAGGATGTGTCCCTCCGGGGAGAGAAAGAGAGAGAGAGAGCGCATTCCATTCCAACAATCTCTCTCTGGGATTTCCATGTGTAGGTGGAATGGAAATCTCAGTTTGGTTTGGATACTCTTAAGTAACGGTTTCCGCATGTGTCAGACACTCGACTGGGCAAAATGTTAAGAGATATTGATTATTATTACAAGAATAGCGTTCAACTCGATAACCTTAATACACCCAAAAATCAAGACACTTAATTTTTTTTAAAAAACTTGTTCCGAACAAAAAAGATTTTCTTGAGCTGGAAAGTCAAATTAAATGGGTTGTGTTTTAATAGATGTAGGGACACAACTGCTCTTATTAACACACCTATAATGATGAATATCTTCGAATGATTTAGTATTATTGATGGCAAAAACACACAGGAAGCCCTCGCCTGTCCTCATGTACTGATCTCTCATAGCGCTGTACTCCTCTTGACCTGCTGTGTCCAGAATATCTAAAAGACAGGTTTCCCCATCAATTACTACTTGTTTTCTGTAGGAATCCTGAGGAGAAACCAAACAAAAGATGTCAATAAATAACAATAATAATAAAAGATTACAACACCTTTTACAAAGCAAGTAAACACAGGTGCTGCCATTACTCAGAACCAAACACAAATATTTCCTATGTAATTAGGGGTTCAAAGGGTATAATTATACTCAAAATAGACCATGCCGATGACAGCCTAACTCATTGGGAGGACCTGGAAACGTAGACTAGTTACTGAGGGAAGGGAATCCTCCCCCTCAGCTCCTGGTAACCCCGCAGCCAAAGCTCGAATGGATAGGGTGGTCCTGGCTGGACAAGCAGCAGGAAAACTTGGCCAGACAGTGATATCAATGGCCAAGCTGTGTGGGTTTAGCTGGTTAGACTCCAGCAGTTACCCCCAACGCACACTCTGGGCTCCCCCCAAGCCTTGGCTCTCGCCAACCTGTGCTTAATACTCTCTGGAATTAGATAAGCAGGAATAGAATTCTCAGTTTGGTTTGACGGGTTTATGTACGTGTCAAATACCTGGCTGATCGATCCCCAAAAAATGAATGAGACTGCTGCTAATAGTCACCAATTTAAGAACAAATGAAACTCACATTAAAGGTCAAAGCTGTGATTACTTGTGGGCAAATCTAATAGTGCAGCATTTTCAACAGTAGCACTTTTTCGTACAGGGAAAAGATATATTTTTTTTGAAAACAAAGCAGAGAAGAAAAATGACTTACTTCTATTGTGGGATCATATTCATCTACAAAATGGTTCTGAATTAGCTGTATTGTCAGGGCACTTTTCCCTACGCCACCAGCTCCAACCACCACCAGTTTGTATTCTGTCATGTTGGTTTTGTGCTTGTAGACAAGACCCTGGCTAAAGAGAAGAAACAGTGTTTTCAAGGTGTGCAATCAAGGTAAAACACATTTTTTTTCCAAATTAAATAAAAAGGCTCAGGCAGAATGAGAGAGCATTTCAAACCTTGTCATCTAACTTCTCATGTAGGTTGAACACGAATACTCAATATCCTCTTGCGTAACAGTGTACAGTATTTGGCTTTTTTTAGGATTGTTTTGACTAGCACTTGAAGAGTTAAGACTTGTTCTGGACTTACGTGGCTCCATTGGAGAGAATTTTTTCTCATACTGCATGCCAATAATCTAGAGTTCGAATTCCCATTATCCTGAGCGCAATTGGCTGCCGTGTTTTGGCCACAAAATACAGTCAAATCACTTTACAGTGTAGTCTGTGAAGCGCTTTGGGACGTCTAGAAGATGTGATATCAAATGCAAGGATTATTATTATTATTATTATAAAAGAGAGCACTATGCCATAGAAACGATTATATCAGCATTTGTGAAGAGAGCTCCATCATCAGTGACTACCAAGAATACAACAAATGTCACTTAAAGGACTGATTTGCTGCACAATTTCAACATTCACAAAATTAGCATTCTCTATGTTCTGTCCGCAAACATGATCCTGGTCTCCTTGTGGATCATCACTACACGTTCCCCACCCTCTCTTACCTTTCTAACTGGGGAGTGGGACTAGTTGGGCAGCTCTTTTAAAGAGCCAAATGGCCTCCTTCTGTGCTGTAAGATTCTACATTGAGATACTGACACCATCGTATAAACACTAATATGTACAGGGAGACAAATTCAGCAACCAAAATAGCCAGAATGAAAGTCACGTCATGTAAGCAAAGAAGTTTATTATTCTAATAAAAAAATGTATATGGCCTGATGCAGAAATATTTTTGCCCGCCCCCCACCCCTTTTCTGAACATAGCTGTTTATGTTGGGTGCTGTCCCACAGACACTGAGAGTTTCAGTAACTCACACAGCAGACACTCACAGCAGCACAGCAGCCCCCAATCCTGCCCTCACCCAATATTTGGTCACTGAATCCGTGGCTGTTTGTGGGACACTGCTGTGCGCAATTGGCTGCCATATTTCACCCACAGTCACTTCACTTTACATTATATATGGAAAGGCTAGAGAAAGGCTGGAGAGGCTGGGGAAAGGCTGGAGAGGCTGGGGAAAGGCTGGAGAGGCTGGGGAAAGGCTGGAGAGGCATGGGGAAAGGCTGGAGAGATTAGGGGAAAGGCTGGGGAGGCATGGGGAAAGGCTGGAGAGATTAGGGGAAAGGCTGGAGAGGCATGGGGAAAGGCTAGAGAGGCTGGGGAAAGGCTGGAGAGGCATGGGGAAAGGCTGGAGAGGCATGGGGAAAGGCTGGAGAGGCATGGGGAAAGGCTGGAGAGGCATGGGGAAAGGCTGGAGAGGCATGGGGAAAGGCTGGAGAGGCATGGGGAAAGGCTGGAGAGATTAGGGGAAAGGCTGGGGAGGCATGGGGAAAGGCTGGAGAGATTAGGGGAAAGGCTGGAGAGGCATGGGGAAAGGCTAGAGAGGCTGGGGAAAGGCTGGAGAGGCATGGGGAAAGGCTGGAGAGATTAGGGGAAAGGCTAGAGAGGCATGGGGAAAGGCTGGAGAGGCTGGGGAAAGGCTGGAGAGGCATGGGGAAAGGCTAGAGAGGCTGGGGAAAGGCTGGAGAGGCATGGGGAAAGGCTGGAGAGGCATGGGGAAAGGCTGGAGAGGCATGGGGAAAGGCTGGAGAGATTAGGGGATAGGCTGGAGAGGCTGGGGAAAGGCTGGAGAGATTAGGGGAAAGGCTGGAGAGGCATGGGGAAAGGCTGGAGAGATTAGGGGAAAGGCTGGAGAGGCTGGGGAAAGGCTGGAGAGATTAGGGGAAAGGCTGGAGAGGTTGGGATTATTCTCATTGGAGCAGAGACGGTTACGAGGATCTAATAGAGATCTTCAAAGTCATGAGGGGATTTGATAGGTTAAAAAGGGACAAACTGTTCCCACTGGTGGGTGTGTCGGTGACTCGAAGTCATAGATTCAAAATAGTCTCTAAAAGAAGCCGAGGGGAGAGGTGAGAAGAAATGTTTTCACGCAGCGAGTTGTTGGAATCTGGAACATTGCCTGAAAGGGCGGTTGAGGCCGATTCGATAACTACTTTTAAAAACGCGGTGGACGGGTATTTGAGGAGGACGGGTTTGCGGGTTATGGGGAAAGGGCCGGGGAGTGGGATTGACATTAATTGCTCTATTCAAAGAGCCGCAGAGACTCGATGGGCCGAATGGCCTCTTTTTGTGCTGTACGATTCTATGATTCTATGATATTCTTTGAAGCGCTTTGAGACGTCTCGAAGACATGATAAGGCGCTGTATCAAATGCAAGGATTATTATTATCATTAAGTGGAGTCCTGTAGCTCAGTGGTTAGAGCACTCGCTTTGCAAGTGAGAGACCTGAGTTCAATTCCAGTCAGGGCGAAACCTTGGGCAAGTTTCCTTACTCCACACGCCTAATAATAATCCCTCCAAAAAAACAAAATAATAATAAATTGGTCATTTTCAATCTACGACTGTTTGTGGGACATTGCTGTGCGCAATTGGCTGCCGCGTTCGCCCACAAATATACAGTCAATTCACTTTACAGTGTGTTCTGTGAAGCGCTTTGGGACGTCCTCCCGACGTGAAAAGCGCTATATCAAATGCAAGGATTATTATTATTATTATTATTATTATAAGTAACCTTTCAGGTGAAAGCTCATCGCCATTACCAAGAGGCTATGGGACAGATATTCAAATCCACAGAAATCTGAAACAATACGATCAACTCCAGGATCCTACATTGGGATTTTTCAGTTGGGTTCGTTCACTATGAGGAAAAGGGGGGAAATATTACAGACAATTAATTTGCTTTATAATGAGTCAAATGCTAGGACAGCCATTTTGAGAGTGAAAACTGCTATCATCATCCATTTTAAGACAAAGTCAAGCCACTCCACTAACGCAGGCTGGATTAATAGTAGGTCCAAAAACTTTATAGAGGGAAAAATAATTGATATCCTGTACCGCCCCTTGAATTTAAAACTTAGTGCAACTCTGACACATTGGGCGAGTGTATGTGAAGAGGGAGAGGGTGGGGGGTGGGAACGAAATGTTGAAAATTACTGAATGCCAATATTATGACGGGGCTATTATGTATTTGTATTTGCTGTACTTCAATTGCAGGAAGGGATAGTTTATATACTCCCGCAGCTGCTTTTCACCCCCTTCCCCCATACTGTGCCAAAAAATGATGGAGCCAAAACCCAGAGGAAGGGGAGAGGAGGTTAGCCGAACAAGTACACAAATCACACCTTACTGAAACAGAGCTTGACTGAAAATATCTGTTCCATCATCCTGTTGGATGGTGCTTAATAGCATTCGTAGCGGCTGAGTTTATTCAGCTCTTTCCACAGCAGAATTTTCACTGACGACTGCAGACACTTGTATATTTCATTTCACGTCCCACTTGCAAACCGATCATTGAAGAGGCTAAAATATAATAATAATCCTGGCATTTGATACGGCACCTTATCACGTCGTCGAGACGTCTCAAAGCGCTTCACGGAATATACTGTAAAGTGGAGTGACCGTATATTTTGTGGGCAAAACTCAGCAGCCAATTGCGCACAGCAGCGTCGCACAAACAGTCGTGGATTGAGTGACCAATTTGTTTTAATAAAGAGATTATTATTATCAAATAAAAACAATAATAAATTGGTCATTTTCAATCTACGACTGTTTGTGGGACATTGCTGTGCGCAATTGGCTGCCGCGTTCGCCCACAAATATACAGTCAATTCACTTTACAGTCTATTCTGTGAAGCGCTTTGCGACGTCCTCCCGATGTGAAAAGCGCTATATCAAATGCAAGGATTATTATTATTACCCCTGGAAAGCGATCCGCCAATAGAATAACAAGCAGTTTCTTACTTACTGGCGGGTAAACAGAGGCGTGTTCCGCCCGGGAATCGAACCCAGACCTCCTCACCATAATCACACACAAACAACAAGTTACATGTGAAAAGCGCCTTTCACGTCAGGCGGATGTCCCAAGGCGCTGGACAGTCAGTGATTCGTACCCAAGCTGGGGGTCGGGATCGGGGGGGGAAGGAGGGTGACCCAAGGTACGGTCAAAGGAGGGTCCTGGCACAGGTGTTGAAGGTGGCAAGGAAGGGGGTCAGGCGGATGGACTGTGGGATGGAGTTCCAGAGGGTGGGGGCAGAGTGGTAGAAGGCCCACCCACCCGTGGTGGGGTGAGCGAGGCGGGGGATATGAAGCAGACCGGAGCCCACTGAGCAGAGGGAACGAATAGGGTGGTAGGAGGTTAGGAGGTCATGGGAAGCAAAGCCATGGAGGGCTTTGAGGGTGAGGACCAGGATCTTGAACTGTATCCTCTGTGTGATGGGGAGTCAGGGGAGTCGGGCGAGGATGGGGGTGATAGGGTCACGGAGCCCGGTGTGGGAGAGGATGGGGGTGATGGGGTCACGGAGCCCGGTGTGGGAGAGGATGGGGGTGATGGGGTCGGGGAGCCCGGTGGGGGAGAGGATGGGGGTGATGGGGTCACGGTGCCCGGTGTGGGAGAGGATGGGAGTGATAGGGTCACGGAGCCCGGTGTGGGAGAGGATGGGGGTGATGGGGTCACGGAGCCCGGTGTGGGAGAGGATGGGGGTGATGGGGTCACGGAGCCCGGTGGGGGAGAGGATGGGGGTGATGGGGTCACGGAGCCCGGTGTGGGAGAGGATGGGGGTGATGGGGTCACGGAGCCCGGTGGGGGAGAGGATGGGGGTGATGGGGTCACGGTGCCCGGTGGGGGAGAGGACACGGGCTGCAGAGTTAGTTCGGGATGATCTGCAGTCTGTGGAGGGAGGAGTTGGGGGCCGACAAGCAGCGAGTTTGCACAGTGGAGCCTGGATGCTATGAATGTGTGTGTGAGGGTCTCGGGGGCTGCGGTGTGAGACAGTGGTGGAGTCGGGCCATGTTGC